TAAAAGCGTAATATAATAGTTTTTACTCATCTGACAAATAGAAAACGATCTAATTCTTTCGTATAAAACTTATAAGCAGAGTTAACTCAAGAGAATATCATATGAGTCACATATTTCATATTTGTGTAGTAAAGACAGAAGGCGTACGGCCTATGTTATTCCCTTACTAGTATGCTTCTATGAGTGTACAGTCTTCTCTTGAATGAGTCAATCGAAGGTGCGGACAAAACGGCTTCGGGTAACAGGTTCCAAGAATTGCGGACTTGGTGTGAAAACATGTATTCCAGTGGTATTTTGTTCGTTCTTGGCTTTTCTACTCGCCTGCTATGTCCTCTGAGATGTCCCAGTCTAGTGGGAAGAAAAAAAATATATTAGGTCCAAAATCATTTCTTAGTGTTCTATACATCACAAATGATGAACTCTTTATGTCTATGGAAATTACTTTTGTCGCTTTGAAAAACAAACAATTGATTCAGATTATTATCATTACAATTATTGTCATTATTAATACTAATATTATTATTACTACTATTATTGTCATTATTGTTATTATTATCATTATTATTATTATTTTCCACATTATTCACCCTCTTTTATACTTATACAGCGGCTCGTCTTTGGTGGAATTCCGACTGTATCCAAACGTTCTCGAGTCACTGTCCGGTTGAAAATTGTATGTTACCACCGAATACGAGGACTGAAGCAGATTTTCTGAAACCACGTGCACCATTCAAACTGGCTGCCTTCAACGTTCGCACATTTATGCAGGTCGGACAACAGATAGGGCTGGCTATGTCTTTGGAAAGTCTTAATATCGACGTGTGTTGTCTATCCGAGACCCGTATTCAAGACTCTGGCGAAGTACTACAAATTCGATCTCCATCTGTCGCTTCGAAAAGCTTGTTTTACGTGCGCTTATCCGGGGACCCTGTGGCATCTTCGTCTGGTCTTGCTGGCGTTGGTGTCGCACTAAGCGCTAGAGCTGAGGCAGCACTAGTCGATTGGATCCCCATTAACAGTCGGTTATGTGCTGTTAGATTAGAAAGTTCCATCAAAGTGAGAAGAAATCGGCGTGAGAAACGATGTCTTTTCGTCATCTCCGCCTATGCCCCGACAGATTGCAGCCCGGATGCAATCAAGGATGAGTTTTACCACCAGTTATCAGTTCTTCTCCAGAAAGTGCGTTCGACAGATATTGTAGTACTAGCCGGAGACTTGAATGCTCAGGTCGGGCGTCTAGGCACAGAAGAGAGTCGTTTAGGTGGCCGATGGGGACTCGTTGGTCGCAGGTCAGATAACGGGGACCGTCTACTGCAACTTTGCACAGACCACAACCTGTTTCTGGCTAGCACTAACTTTCGGCACAGTCATCGCCGATGTGCCACCTGGCGTCCTCCCTCTGCATCTCAAGCCTGGACTCAGATTGATCACATCGCGATCAGCTACCGCTGGCGTGGTTGTGTACAAGACTGCCGCTCCTTTTGGAGTACCTATCTGGACTCTGACCATGCCTTGGTCTGCGCCAATCTTGCCTTACTTTTCAGTGGACAACGAAGTGAACGCCATCAACGGATTGATGTTAGCAAGCTGGTTGCAACTTCTGTTGCAAGTAAGTATCGAACCGAGCTAGCCTCTAGGCTAGCTACCACTCCACCGAAAAGTATAGATGAGCATTGGTTGCAATTGCATGACGCCATGAAAATGGCGGGAACAGTCAGTTGTGGGTTTGCGAAACGTCCCGCTTTTAAGCACTGGGTTTCTTCTGGTTCCTTACAACTCATTGAAGCCCGTCGGTCTACTCCGGGTGACCGTGAGTTTGACCATAAACGAAGGATGTTACGTAAGGAAATTGGGCAAAGCTTGCGTAAGGACCGAGAAGCCTGGTGGTCGATGCGTGCTAATGAGCTGGAAGCAGCAGCTGCATCTGGTAACTACCGGAAGCTCTTCCAACTCATCCGAGCCACTGGCAGCAAGAAGTCTGGTGTGAGTGAAACAATCTGCGAGGATGATGGGATGCCAATCACTAACATCCATCGACGTCTTGGACGATGGGCAGAATTTTTCGAAGGGCAGTTCAACTGGCCTGCTGCTCCGGCAACATCGGTCAGACTGTCCTGCCCTCCATGGCCGGTGACGACTGATCCACCAAATGAGGAGGAAGTCCGCAAGGAACTCCAACTCTTGAAGCGTTACAAATCACCTGGCCCAGATGACTTACCTCCGGCTCTTTTTAAAGATGGTGGTGACTTTTTGACTAAGGAATTGACGACGTTGTTTACAAAGGTTTGGGAACTAGAGAGTGTACCAACGTCATGGAATGAGTCGATAGTTGTCCCTATCTTTAAAAAGGGTTCACGTCGTTCTTGTAACAACTATCGGGGGATAAGTTTACTTCCGATTGCGTCCAAGCTATTGGCTTCCGTCATTCTTCGTAGGTTGTTCAAAACCCGAGAAAGATTGACTCGCGAGGAGCAGGCTGGGTTTCGTTCTGGTCGAGGATGTATTGATCATATCTTCACCCTCCGCCAAATGTTAGAACACCGCCATACTTTTCAAAGGCCAACAATCGTAGTGTTTCTTGACATCAGGGCTGCCTTCGATTCGTTGGATAGGACTGTTCTCTGGGATTGTCTATTGAAGAAGGGTGTGCCTGAGAAGTTTATTAACATCCTAAAAGCCCTGTATAAAAACACCTCAGGCAGAGTGAGGGCATACAACCACCTCTCTCCATTGTTCCATTCGAGCAGTGGGGTTAGGCAGGGTTGCCCAATCTCACCATTCCTCTTCAACTTTGCCATCGATGACATTCTGGAAACAGCTCTGATGAATGTAAGTAATGGTGGTGTGGATCTGTTGCCTGGAGAAAGACTTCTCGACCTTGAGTATGCGGACGATATTGTCTTACTGTGCGATAATGCCCAAGGCATGCAATCCGCACTTAATCAGTTGGCAATCAGTGTCCGTAGGTATGGTATGTGCTTTGCACCTTCGAAGTGCAAAGTACTTCTACAAGACTGGCAGGATTCTAATCCTGTACTCACCCTGGACGGTGAGCAGATAGACGTAGTTGAGAAGTTCGTGTATCTGGGTAGCTGCATAAGTGCTGGTGGGGGTGTGAGTGATGAGATCAATGCACGAATAGTGAAAGCCAGAGCGGCTTATGCCAATCTGGGCCACCTTTGGCGCCTTCGTGATGTTAGTCTGGCTGTAAAAGGCCGGATCTACAACGCGTCGGTGAGAGCAGTTTTGCTCTATGCTTGTGAAACCTGGCCTCTCCGAGTTGAGGACGTTAGACGACTCTCTGTGTTCGATCATCGCTGTCTCCGAAGGATTGCTGACATTCAGTGGCAACACCATGTCAGTAATGCAGAGGTTCGGCATCGTGTGTTCGGGCACAGAGATGATAACTCAATTGGTGTCACCATCTTGAAACACCGACTTCGGTGGCTTGGACATGTTCTCCGAATGTCGTCCCAGAGAATTCCACGTCGTGCATTATTTGCCGACTCTGGGACTGGTTGGAAGAAGCGGAGAGGTGGTCAGTGCATGACATGGTGTCGTGGCATGAAAGAAAGCTGCAAAGGACTGGCTTGTGTTGGTCCTTCACGACTCCCTGGCTGGGGTCCGAGAGATGGTGCTACACAGTGGCTAGAGACGTTATCAGATATGGCTCAGAATAGAAGCCAGTGGCGATCCTGCTGTAACCTTCTTTTACTTTCTTCATAAAAAGTGGTTGTGTCTCCCTTACCTGAAAGATTTCTTCTGATTGTACCTCTTCGTCATTACTCTCTTTTTCTTTTGCGTTCCTTAGTTTTTTTTTTCTCTTTCTACTTCTCTTCGAATTCCCATTGTTTTGTGTGGCGCATATATATTGGCGCTCTCTTGTACCAATATTTATGTGTTCAAATAAATAAATAAATAAATCAGCTCTCAATCTGCGATAGGACAGATTAAGGAGGTCTAACATTTCACCCTTTAATTAGGGGCTTGCAGCCTGAACGCAGTTCTCAAGCTTAGTCGTCATTAAGGTTATGTATACTGTGATGAACATGGTAGTATCTAACTTGGTGAGTGTCTGTCTTAAAGCCCAGAGGGTTCTGAACCCTTCAGCTGCGACCTCCCGTCAATTGGCCGTGGCTTTAAAATCATGACTCACTGTCACATCAAGATCTTTATGAGACCGGACCATGGGTACAGACACTTCCCCTATGCTGTACCTATTAACCTATGTATCCCGGAAGTGCATGTACACACTGCCGCGTTGATAGGCATCAACCACTCTCTATACTAGTTAATCACATTATTTAAGTCTGCCTGAAATGTGCATGCATCTGCGTCTCCGGTTATTACTCGCCAGATTTTTACATCGTCAGTGTATAATAACATTGGAGACTGTACTATACTTGGAAGGTCATTTACATACAGTATAAAAAGTAAAGGACCTAGGACAGAACCTTGAGGTACTCCACTGAATACTGATCTTCAGATGGAGCACTTGGAATTTATTCTTACTTCCTGTCTACTACCTACTAGGAAATCCTTAAACCATTTTATGAAAGGTCCGGCAATACCAAAATTTTCTAACTTCAATAGCAGTCTATTTGTTGGCACCTTGTCAAATGCCTTACTGAAGTCTATGTAGACAACATCCACTGAGTTTCCGTTGTCTAGCGTCTTTATCCAAGATTCCCTTGCTATAAGGAGGTTTGTTGTGCAAGACAAGCTCTTTCTGAAACCATGTTGTTCGAACATAGTGCTAAGTAGTACATGTCATCACTTATTCCCTTTCGGTTCCCCACCACTGTCAATATGGTTATTTTAACTTATCTTCTTGTACAAATTTTTGACACGTGAATGTAACTACTGAATTATGATTCTCCGTTTACATTATCTCCAATCTTTAGACATTTGCAGATCTAAGGGTTCTGTCCAATTATAACAGATGAACTTCAGTTTTCAATTCCTCGACATTACAACCAACCCTACTGTAAATACTATCTATGGTACTATATTATCGGTCTGTAAATTTCATATTATGATTTTCTACTTAGATACCATGGACCAGTGAACTATGGTTAGTTTCACTAATTGGATTTCATTTTCTCACATCCATATGTGTAATTGCTTTCCGCAAGTGTACAAATTTGTTGCTGTGTATTTTGCTTATTTCCCGTAAGGTTTCATGTATAATTGTTTATAACATAGTTGGTACTGTTTGGTTTTCACACCGGATTAATGAATTCGCTGCTAATAACTGGAAGTAACAATCATTTGCAAGTATTTTAACCTTTCTAGCTTGTTCGCTACTGAGCAATATTTTGATAGTTATGGATATTTCATATCTTGTATTTGGAACATTCCTGTTATTTTAAACAGTCTACTAATTGTTGTAAGTTCACTTATTCCTATATACTTTTCACATTAGGTACTCCTTGTTTTACAGATCAACAGTTTAATAATTCAATCTAAACGATTGCAAATTGCTACTAAAAAGCGATTAAAAACAGATTAAAAAACCTTATTGATTTTTAATTAAATTTCTAAGTTTGTAACTGATTACTGTTTTTTCGCGTGCCAAGTCCGTTTTTAAATTGACTTAGCCAATTGTTACACTAAATTACATATAATTAGACTGAAAAAGAAGTGACAGGGATAACATATATGGCACAGATTTATGAAACCTCATACTGCTGTTTAGTTTTGTGGTTGTTGCGATTACATAAAAGTGACTAAAGGCTGCACTGGTGTGGTTGAAAACGAACTCAATATATACACCCACTTCACAAGTACCTTGAGATATTTCGTGTCACCTTACTCTATTTATTTTTGGATTATAAACTGCGACGTTACTTAGTTTATTAATTTTCTACATGTGAGGTTAAGATATACACCATCTTAAATCGATGCGTTTTCCTATGAAATTTATGAATAATAGTCGCTTTTGAAGTAGTCCCTGCTTATAGTGACTCACGTGCAATTGAGTTTAGTTCAGTCAAGGTCTTTTGTTGACCTATTTAATGGACAAAGTCATCCATGATATAACAACTTGTTGTATTATCTTTATTATTATGCTTGTATGAAATACATATGCTTGAACATTGTTTAGCGCCTACGCATGTATTCATTCTGCTAGCTTCATTATTAACTGCTTAATCTATTCGCTGACTCATCCATTTTCCTATACATATATATATGTGTACATTTGCACCCATTCACTACTACTACTACTACTACTACAACTACTTGCTACTGCTACAATCGTAGTTCGCTTGCTCATTCATTTTGCCTCTCTGCTGTCTGGTCCGAATTATCTACTAAATAAACTGTAGTAGCTGCTTCTATTTGCCTTCTGATTTCAAACATCGTTGAAGATTATACGATAACGGTTCGAGGGTGATTAATTAACGAAGCACAGCCACTACAGAATTGGTAATCCCGACGTGAGAACGGGAAGCGAATTTTGACGAAATAATCAAATTCCAAAAATCCGACTACCTTCATCTCAATTTGGATTATTAAATGAACTATAATTACAACTGTGGATTTATATTATTATTTTAATTACACTTACATTATTTCGCAAACATTAAACGTGACAATTATAATCATAATAAATAACAATTATTCATAAACAATTGATATATTGGTGCAATTTAGTAAGTCTGTTCCATTTTATAAATTGTGCCATTTTTTTATTATCATTGTTTTCACCCGTCTATTTTTCCTTGTGATTGTTAAAGTATTTTCGTGTGCTACTTAATTTTTATAAGCATGTCTTATGAAAACACAGTTTCAAGCGTACAGCAAGCCTCGTCCGTGAGGTCTCTTAACCTCCCTGCCCCTTCTTTTAAAATCGCAGACCCAAAACTTTGGTTTATAAGACTTGAAAATTATTTTCTCGCTAACCGCATTCTTTTGCAAAAGGATAAGTTCGGCCTGACAAGCACACTACTCCCAGACGAAGTAGCTGACAGCGTTCGAGAGGCACTAGCAAAACCAGACACAGAAAAACCATACGACGTGCTAAAAGAGGCTGTAATTAAAACTCTCTCTCTCAGTGACCAACAAGCCGTCGAACAACTTCTTAACCAAGTACAAATGGAGATAGAACCCCATCACAACTAAAAAATTATATGAAAAGTTTACTTGGCGATAGACACATTGACAATAATCTCTTTTATCAACTGTGGCTCCGCCGACTCCCTGCAAATATACAGCAGATCCTAGCTGTGGGAGATACGGATGCTGATTTAGACAATATAGCAAAGATAGCCGATAGAATATACGAAAGAAGCAAGCAAGCAAGCCCTCCACTACACAATGTGACGGTAGACGATAGACTTGATACTCTACAGAAGGAAATAAATGTTTTGTGCCGAAAACTCTCAGAGTTAACGCAGAGAGAAAAGCCACGAAGGTCATCGCGAGATCGTTCGCGTGAAAGGACCCGGTCAACTTCTAGACGACGCACAACTCCCGCGATATGTTGGTATCATCAAATGTTCGGCTACAGGGCCAGAAAGTGCCTACAACCTTGTAGATTTAACAGGAATAGTAACCGATACCCACGAGTATCAATGGCAACAGCATCAACACACATAATGCCTGAAAATAGTCGCCTCTTTTATATACAAGACCGGACCACTGGCGCACAATTCTTAGTTGACACTGGAGCGGAAATTAGCGTAGTACCTCCATTTAACGAGGAAAGAAAAAACATTAACCCGTCGTTAGTGCTAAGAGCAGCAAACAAATCAGATATTAAGACATATGGTAAACGGAAATTGTCCCTAGATTTTGGACGTGGCGCTTCATACCGTTGGAACTTTGTCATAGCAGACGTATCGATGCCCATAATAGGCATAGATTTCTTATGTAACTTTGACCTGCTAGTAGACTCTAGACGACACAGACTTATAAACGGCAGTCAAACCACTTCGATAAGAGGAATACTTACGGAAGCCGTTTCAATGAACCTTGTGATAGATAAAAGTTGTGGTGATCCATATAAATTGTTGTTAAGGGAGTTCCCTGAACTCGTAAAAGTAACATACAATAAAGCGGATCTCAAACATTCTATTCAGCATCACATCGTAACGAATGGTCCACCAATCAATGCAAGACCAAGAAGGTTAGATCCCAAAAGACTAGCCATCGCAAAACAGGAATTCGACAAGCTAATGAGGCTAGGCATTATAAGGCCATCGAACAGCCCGTGGGCATCCCCGCTACATATGGCCCCGAAAAAGAATGGAGAGGTTAGGCCATGTGGGGATTACAGAGCACTAAACAAACAAACGGTAGCTGACAGATATCCTATACCGCACATTCATGATTTCACCTACAGTATAGAAGGCACTACTATCTTCTCGAAGATCGACTTAGTCAGAGCATACTACCACATCCCTGTTGCCCCACAAGACATACCGAAGACAGCAGTAACAACCCCATTTGGGCTATATGAATTCCTGCGTATGCCTTTTGGACTGACTAACGCGGCACAAACCTTTCAGCGGTTTATCGACCAGGTCATTAGAGGTTTACCTGGGGTATACGCGTATATCGACGATTTATTAGTAGCTAGCACCACTAAGGATGAGCATATACAACAACTACGGCAATTATTTATGCGACTCAGAGAACACGGCATTTCTATAAATATTGAGAAGTGTGAATTCGGAAAAGAATCTTTACAGTTCCTAGGTCACAATATAACTTCTCAAGGCATCACACCAATAGCAACAGAAGTCGACGCCATTAGGAATTATCCCCTACCCGACTCATGGAAAAAGTTACGCCGATTTCTCGGGTTAATAAATTATTACAGACGATTTATCCCGAATTGCGCGTCAATATTGCAACCACTAACAGATGCATTACGCGGAAACGCACGGACATTCCAATTATCACCAGACGCGATCCAAGCATTCGAGAACGCTAAAAAAGCACTAAATAAAGAAGTGACACTAACTAGACGAAAGAGCGAAACACCGTTAGCTATCATGACGGATGCATCAGACGTAGCGGTAGGAGCCGTTTTACAACAATTAGTAAATGGCATATGGGAACCGCTCTCATTTTTTCGAAAAGACTGAATCCGACACAAACAAGATATAGTACTTTCGGAAGAGAACTCCTAGCGATTTACTTGGCAATAAAACATTTCCGACATATGATTGAGGGTACCATTTTCACAGTATATACAGACCATAAACCCCTCACAAAAGCATTGAACGCCAAACAGGACAACTACTCGCCGAGGGAAATCCGACAATTAGAATTTATTTCCCAATTCACGTCTAACATACAGTATGTCAAAGGCAATAGTAACGAAGTGGCAGACGCGCTATCCAGAACGATGGTCAACGCTCTCGTCCAGTCCGAAATCGATTATCACAAGTTAGCAGCATTACAAAATATCGACGTCGAGTTAAACAGACTAAAGTCTGCCAACACAACCTCGTTAGTTCTCAAAGAAACTCCATTGGAAGAAGTAAGCATCACCTGCGATATTTCTACAGGTCAACCAAGACCATTTATTCCAAAGCCGCTAAGGCGAAACATTTTCGAAGCCATGCACAATATTTCGCATCCCGGAATAAAGGCCACCATCAAACTAATCAGCGAACGTTTTGTATGGCCAAGTATGAATCGGGATATTCGTAATTGGACGCAAGCGTGTATAAAATGCCAGAGAGTTAAGATACATCGCCACACCAGTTCCGCAGTAGGTCATTTCCGTCATCCCGATAACAGATTCGAGCACGTACATATCGATATTATAGGACCACTGCCGGTTTCGAATGGTTTCAGTTACATTTTCACTTGCATTGATAGATTCACGCGATGGCCTGTAGCTGTGCCCATAAAAGATATTACAGCCGAAACTATCGCAAAAACCCTAGTAGAGCATTGGATTTCCCATTATGGTGTACCTACTAATATCACAACCGATAGAGGAGCTCAATTCGAGAGCCGCCTCTTCCAACAACTCACAGAACTACTCGGAATCAAACGAATTCGCACAACATCCTACCATCCGATGTCGAATGGTATGGTAGAGAGATTGCATCGGCAACTTAAAGCTTCTCTTACAGCTGTCATCAGCAATAACGATTGGGCCAGCAAGCTACCGTTAGTCATGTTGAGCTTAAGATCAACAATCAAACAAGATATAGAATGCTGCCCAGCAGAATTGGTTTATGGAACCACACTACGTCTGCCAGGAGAGTTTTTCACTGCAGGTAAAAGCGATCCAACTGATATAGCGGACTATGTACAGCGTCTTAAGCAGCATATGAGTAGTCTAAGGATAACGCTTCCGAGACAACATCAACGCCGTGTGTACATACCCAAACAACTAAGTGACAGTACCCATGTGTTTATCAGAAGGGATAATGTGCAACGTCCCTTACAACCAGCCTACGATGGTCCATTTAAGGTGATTAAACGAGACGACAAAACTATCACGGTAGAAAAAGCTGGAAAAACGGATGTAATTAGCATCGACCGAGTCAAACCAGCTTTCATCGAAGCCTACGATCAGCCAGTACATACAGATACTGCGAAAACCGTTGAATCATCGAAGCGTCAGTTCCAATCATCAACGACATCGACAAACACAAGCAAAGAGAATCCAGTAACGACAAGGTCTGGCCGAAGAGTAAGATGGCCCCAACATTATGTCGCTACAATCTTCTATTAATAATTTTCTACTATTTAAAATATTAATTATAACTTCCACTTCATTGTACACACATGCATTACTAATTTCATGTTATACGCTATAAAACTCAACATATCTTATGTACCCCTACACTTACACGTATAATTTTTATTTAAAATGTAAAGCAATACCGCATTCCTTCTATTTATTGCTATTATTTTTTAAAACCTCACGGACGGGCGCAAACCAAATGTACAGCACACACTAACTTCATCTTAATTTTGTACAAACCATTTTTTTCAAACGACTGTAACTACCCTACTCAGTTTACTATTTTTTTTGTGCAAACACAGACATTTTTCCATATATCTTTGTTTGCAGGGGGGAGCTATTATAGTGACTCACGTGCAATTGAGTTTAGTTCAGTCAAGGTCTTTTGTTGACCTATTTAATGGACAAAGTCATCCATGATATAACAACTTGTTGTATTATCTTTATTATTATGCTTGTATGAAATACATATGCTTGAACATTGTTTAGCGCCTACGCATGTATTCATTCTGCTAGCTTCATTATTAACTGCTTAATCTATTCGCTGACTCATCCATTTTCCTATACATATATATATGTGTACATTTGCACCCATTCACTACTACTACTACTACTACTACAACTACTTGCTACTGCTACAATCGTAGTTCGCTTGCTCATTCATTTTGCCTCTCTGCTGTCTGGTCCGAATTATCTACTAAATAAACTGTAGTAGCTGCTTCTATTTGCCTTCTGATTTCAAACATCGTTGAAGATTATACGATAACGGTTCGAGGGTGATTAATTAACGAAGCACAGCCACTACATGCTCCCATATAATCTGGTTCCAAAAGGCATAGTAGTTTAGCATTGATTTTCTCGTATGCCGAATCAAGATAGATGCTAAGTTTTTCTGAATTCATTACTGAAAAAATTTTCAGAACATTATGCGAAACCCCTTGGAATTTTGCAGATGCTTACGCAATGATTACTTGCGAATGAAGTAGCTGTATAGATTAGAGGGTGAATTTCTAGGTACTTGATAAATGATATGTAGCTAGTGAAGCGAGATCGTGGTAGTACATCCTCTCTATATATAATTTTCCACCATCCTACAGAATATAACAACTAATAAGTAGAATATACTCATCAAGAGTTCCTCTAGTACACTCTAAAGAGCCACACTAAGTGTAAACTACACGCTTCCTGAAACTGAGCATCTTACGTTCCAACTTGTTTTTCAGTACAAAGTAGATAGGATGCCGATCTTGAATCATAGTTGGTTACTGTTATCATCATCCCCGTTGAGTGTCGCTTGGCCCCCAAAAGCCCTGGTCCGGCCGAAGGTGCTTAGAGTGAACTATCCCTCTCGAGATGCTCTCACATGGCCACGCGTATACAGCCACTGACAAGGAAGCATTGCTCACTCCCTTCTCAAGGCAAGGGTAATGTTTACGAAATTGAGGGGACAAAAAGCGAATGTCCGACGCTACAACTGGGTTGGTGGATACGAGGAATCCACCTAGGGGAGTTGGAAAACCATGGTTCCAAGCCAATAGTGCACATGGGCCCTAGAATCCTGAGCGAACAAATGGCGTGTGAACCTCTTGTTGGTCACCGGCTACTATGGAACTGCATCTCCTAACGTTGCTCCACTATCTTGTGCATTGGACCTGTAGGTCAAAGGCTCGGGGTGTGGCCCCTAAGGGAACCACTTGTTTCAGTTTGGGTGTTCGGGCAGTATCCCAGTCTTCACACAAGTCGAGTGACTTGTGTGGCGCATATGTATTTGGTGCCTTGTACCAATGTTTGTGTTTATGTAATAAATAAACAAATCATCAGAAAGTAGTGGTTACATGTGGCAACATAGAACGCTTTCTATTACCACTTATGTTAATAGCCGTGATGATAAACTACACATGTTTACTCTGATAGAAAAGTAAATGTGAGCACCAACTAGCAGTTATAAATTTATTCTGGTCATTAAAGAGTTGGTCCTATCACCGCAAACACCATCATAAACTGTTTAAGTAGAAACAACCTACATGTCTCTCGATTATGAAGTTCCTTCTAAAAACCTTCAATCTAATAATCTCTAATGCCTCAGAATATAACGTATAACAAAACTCGTCTGGTCTAGTAAATTCCATCAGTATAAAAAGGACAACGATTTGTTGAAGGTTTTAATTCCAACAAGTATAAAAATAATATTGGGAAATGCTATGATTATCTTGAGGCTTTGTATTTCAAAAGTAGGAAAATATTCACAGGATAAATTTAATAGACTTCGGTTAAAAATATCAGTTTTTCAAACCAAGTTTTCGTTTTTCTTTCTCCTTTTTTCTATGGACTTCCAGTTGACGATTACGCCACTCGCTTTTTTTCAGTTTGATTGGACGATTACCAACGTATTTACCTAGAATAGGTTTCAGAAACCATAGTGTTATAAGATATTGACAACATGTCTTTATCAGAAAAATAAGATGTTGCTTCAAACTTTTATATTGTTGCAAGTTTCTAACAACTCATATTGTGATTTTGCCTACAGGCGTACTTCAAGAACTTTGCTGTCTTAATGAAATAAATATCGCAAACAATCAGTCGAAAGGATTGTTATAACAAAGGGTTCCATGTTATCTCATGAGCAAAGCGAGAGTTAGGGCTAAAACGAAGCCTACATATGCGTTTTGTTCAGAAGTGTACCTCACAATCATCAAAAGTAGTATTGAATAACATAGAAACTGTAAAACACATTGAATCATAGTTTCCGCTCAAATAAAATGGATATTTAAAAGAAACTGTACATAACTAAAGAACAATGTGTGAAACCTGGGTATTTTCATCCCACTCACCACTAGAAAAAAAGGTATATTGACAACCCGGTTGCTACGAAGTGATGCGGGAAATATATTTACTGGTTAAAGTCCCGTTTCATTGCAAGTTTTGCAAATGTGATAACATATCTACCTCTATAAATTAGTCATCCAACTGTAAGGCGTTTATGTTGGCGTAGCAGATCGGAGTGTCTTTCGAGAGTATCGGACAAACAAAGAGTATATACCGTTTCCGCTCGTGAGAACTTATTTGATACTTTTGAAACTCTACATGTGTCGACAATCGTTGTTTCATTCATTCGGTGAAGTTAGGCAAATTTGCTCAATCTCGTCATCCCCTTCAACTTTTTGTCGATAACGTTCTGGAAACAGCTCTGATGAATATAGGTAGTGGCGGCGTGGATTTATTGTTTGAAGAAAATCTTCTCGACCTTAAGTATGCGGATGATATTGTCTTACTGTGCGATAATGCCCAAGCCATGCAATCCGCAATTAGTGTCCATAGGTACGGTATATGCTTTGCACCTTCGAAGTGCAAAGTACTTCTACAAAACTGGCAGGATCCTGATCCTGCACTCACCCTGGATGGTGATGAGGTAGAAGTAGTCGAGAGTTCGTATATCTAAGTAGCTGCATAAGTGCTGATGGTGACGTGAGTGATGAGATCAATGCACGTATAGTGAAAGCCAGAGCGGCTTATGACAATCTGCGCCATCTTCGGTGCCTTCGTGATGTTAGTCTGACTGTGAAAGGTTGGACCTACAACGCGTCGGTGAGAGCAGTTTTGCTCTATGTTTGTGAAATCTGACCTCTTCGAGTTGAGGATGTTATACGACTGTGTTTGATCATCGTTGTCTCTGGAGGATTGGTCACGTCTAGTGGCAGAATCGTGCGTTTGAGCACAGTGACGATAGTTCAATTAGTGTCACTATTTGAAACATCGACTTCGGTGGCTTGGAAATGTTTTACGAATGTCGTCCCGGAGGATTCCATGTCTTGCATTATTTGCCGACGCTGGAACAGGTTGGAGGAAGTGGAGAGGTGATCAGTGTATGACATGGTGTAGTGGTATGAAGAAAAGCTGTACATGACTGGCCTCTCTTGGTCCTTCACGACTCCCTGGTTAGGGTCCTAGAGATGGTGCAACACAATGGCTTGAGAAGTCACCAGACATTCAGAATAGAAGCCAGTGGCGATTTTGTTGCAACCTTTTACTTTCTTCATATAAAAAAGGACGTAACTACCTTATGTGGAAGAATTCGCTGTGACTGAACTTCCTCTCCTTTTATTTCTATTTCACTATCATACACTAATTTCTGTTCATTGTCTTACTTCTTTGTTCTTATACGCACCTCTTATTCTGTATCTCTTCACATTCTCACTATAATTGTGTGGCGCATATTATCTGGTACTTCTTTATACCAATATTTATGTGTCCAAATGAAATAAATGCTGGTTCTTTAGATGGAGTAATTTGTATGGTTTTGTACTAATGTCGTCTAGTAATTTGGGGTGGTCAGCATGCGCCACAGTTCTTACGTTATTTATGACTGATTGAATTCTTGTAGTGACAAATAATGTGAATTCCTTCAGTTACTGTCGTATAGCTTATATTCCACAAACACAGCCAATATCTTTTTATCCAGTCTTTTCTACAATCATCACATTCTGTAATTCCTATCGAAAATAAAATTGGAGTTTGATAAATTGGTTTTGATGGGAAAGTATTAAAAGTCTTGGTACTCTAATTGAAATTTCATAAGTAATGTTTTGGGATAAAAGTCCGATTTGCTTTATATCACTATTGGCGTTAGGAGACTGGCTGAAATAGATCACAAGGACCCAGGTGTATTCTTTTGTCTAAATATCAGGAATCTTTAATCTGTAGTGGTCTTTAAGACACTCATTATGCTTCTGCGAAGTGCAGTTATACGAATCGGCATTTGTGTGACATGTCATCTTTCCAAGTCATGTCCGTTCTGAGTAACATCCAAATGAGCTGTATTTACTGAGTTGATAAGAGAAAATCATCGTCGGTGAGATAACGGTAATAGCTGTAGAAAGCACCTCTCTGTTATTAAATATACAAACCACAAGTTTATCCTACACATGGCCAAAATCATATGCATTTTTTACTTGTACAGAGTTCGACAATGGATTCCAATAATAAAGAGGTTTTTCTAGATTTTATCATCCTACATCTACTAAAGAAAACAAGCAAATTATGTTTCACCTTTGAAGTTATTTGTGTTTAGTATCTATTAATTGGTACGGAACTGCAAGCAAAATCTCGTTTTATTCGATTGATCAAGATAAGTAATCGGACAGAGCAGACAATTTTGTATATAGCCTAGTAACAGTAGATTATAACTTACCATTCATTTCTCGCATGGCACGTGTGAAATCTCCAGGATCAGAAAAGCTAACGAAACCATAACCACGAGATTTACTGGTACGTTTGTCTCGAACAACTTTTGCTTTTTGAAAAGAAGGGTAGCGGTTAAATGCTCGTGCTAAAGTGTCATCTGTCACTTCATTTCCCAAATCCCCACAAAATAATCGGAAGTCATCTGGAAGCCAAATGAAGAACAAATTTATTCGCTAGAGGACAAGTCGTTTTACAAATTGCTAGTGTTCTTTATCTTCTCAGCTAGGTAGTGGGTTTTAAACTGATTCGTTTATCTTTTCAGTCTCTAGAGCGTATATCTGTTTGCTATATCAGGACAAAAAAGCTAGTCTGATTGTTTTAACTTCACAACTATGTATTTAACGTTCCTCATTTTACATACAATTCGACGTTCTAAAATACTTCAATTTGTATTATTATTCTTACTTTTAATAAAAAAAATATCGTTAGTAGTATACAGGCTGGATTTTTTTAAACCAAACCTCAACTAATAACAAGGTGCATGTACACACATTCTTTTTCACCTTGTGAACTTGTGGTGTTTACTAAATGATGATTTCTTTGTACTTGACTGCGCGTTAATTACGAATCCCAAATATAATATGTTCATTTGTGCTCACCTAGTACTACCTGCTTTAAATTGCACTATTTCGGAGATTCTTAGCACAATAATTCGAATACTTCTAATCAACATAAAATTGTTCACACTACTCACATCCTATAGACTCATTTTTTTCTATTCACTAAAATCAACATCTGAACAATACTCGAAAAAATATTAGTGCAGATTTAGTTGCAGGTACCATAAATTCTTTCAATCGCTCAGATTATTACTAAAATGATTTCTACGAATAACATCTACCATAACTCCGCCTGCAGCTCTTCTAGAGTTACTGCCGGTCCCAAGTCCGGGTAAAGGAGGAGGGTTGGACATGGGGTTAGCGACTCCATCCCGTAGAAAACTAGCTCGCTAAAAAACGCTAACCAGAATAAATAATTCAAACCATTTAAACTCTGCCTTGGGAGTTAGAAGGTATTCATTTAGAAGAAATATGACGCCTCATGGTGAAAGCCGAGTTCCTTCGGAAGCCACGAGGCCAATACCTCTTCTAACAACCGGAGCAACAATTTTTATAGGTGCATGGAACGCCCGAACAATGTGGGAAACCGGGAAGACCAGTCAAATAGCAACGGAAATGAGGAGATACAACTTGGCAGTACTGGGAATCAGCGAAACCCATTGGACCCAAGCTGGACAGAAAAGGCTAAATACGGGGGAGATGCTGCTATACTCCGACCACGAAGAGGAAAATGCTCCACACAGGGAGTTGTTCTAATGCTGTCCAAAGTAGCACAAAATGCACTTGTAGGATGGGAATCTCACGGATCCAGAATCATCAAAGCATCATTCAAAACAAAGAAGGAGGGAATCACAATGAATATTATCCGATGTTATGCACCCACCAATGATAACAACGAAGACATTAAAGATCAATTTTATGAGCGACTGCAATCAATCATAGAGAAGTGCCAAGAAAGGACCTCACCATTCTGATGGGAGATCTAAACGCCAAAGTCGGAATAGACAACACCAGATATTAAGATATCATGGGACGACATGGACTGTGAGAGAGAAGCGAAAATGGGGAAAGATTTGCAAATCTGTGTGCATTCAACAAATTGGTCATAGGCGGAACAATATTTCCACACAAACGTATACACAAAGCTACATGGATCTCACCGGACCACACCACAGAGAACCAAATAGATCATATTTGCATCAATAAAAAGTTCCGAAGGACAATGGAAGATGTGAGAACCAAGAGAGGAGCTGACATAGCTTCAGATCACCACCTAGTTGTGGCCAATTTAAGACTGAAGCTAAAGAAGAACTGGACAATCAGCACTACAAAGGTTCAATACAGCCTTCCTTCGAGATACTGACAAACTCAATGAACTCAAGATAGCTCTCAACAACAGGTTCCAAGCCTTACGAGATCTACTGAAAGAAGAAGAAACTACTATGGAGGACAACTGGAAAGGTATCAAGGAAGCATTAACTTCAACGTGTCAGGAGGTTCTGGCCCTCAAGAAGCATCATCATAAGGAATGGATCTCTATAGAAACACTGGACAGGATCAAAGAAAGGAAGAACAAGAAGGCAGCAATTAACAACAGCCGAACACGAGCAGAGAAAGTCCAAGCACAAGTTGAGTACATAGAAGCAAACAAGCAAGTGAAGAAGAGCACTAGAGCCGACAAGCAGAAATACGTGGAAGAACTAGCATCGATGGCGGAAAAAGCTGCTAGAGAAGGAAATATGAAACAGCTTCACGATACAACGAAGAAACTAGTAGGGAAATATAGTAAACCAGAGAGATCGGTCAAAGACAAAGAAGGCAGGCCAGTCACTGAAATTCAACAACAGAAGAACAGATGGGTAGAATACTTCGAGGAACTCCTGAATAGGCCGGCTCCAATGAATCCACCGGACATCGAAGCAGCACACAGAGATCTCCCTATAGGTGTCAATCCACCAACGACGGAAGAAATCAGAATGGCCATCAGACAAATCAAGAACGGGAAAGCAGCAGGACCCGACAACATACCAGCTGAAGCACTGAAATCAGACATCGAAGTAACCACAAACATGCCTTACCTTCTATTCAAAAAGATTTGGGAGGAGGAACAAGTGCCGATGGACTGGAAAGAAGGACAGCTCATCAAAATTCCAAAGAAAGGAGATCTGAGCAAATGTGAAGACTACAGAGGCATTACACTACTGTCAGTACCAGGGAAAGTCTTCAACAGAGTGTTGCTGAACCGGATGAGACGCAGTAGACGCCCAACTTTCAGATCAACAAGCTGGATTCCGTAAGGATCGGTCGTGCACAGACCAAATTGCGACACTACGGATCATCGTCGAACAATCAATTGAGTGGAACTCGTCACTGTACATCAACTTCATTGATTATGAAAAGGCATTTGACAGTGTAGATAGGGGAACCTTATGGAAACTTCTTCGACACTACGGAGTTCCTGAGAAGATTGTCAACGACGGACTACAGTGCATAGTAGTGCATGGAGGACAGCTGACAGACGCATTCCAAGTAAGGACCGGAGTCAGACAAGGCTGTCTACTCTCTCCCTTCCTCTTTCTTCTGGTGATCGACTGGATTATGAAGACCTCAACATGTGAGGGAAAACACGGCATACAATGGACAGCTCAGAACCAATTAGACGGTTTGAACTTCGCAGATGACCTAGCACTCCTGGGAAGCATTATCGATGAACAAGGAGGTTCAGATGCAGACGTAAAGGCGAGGATTGGCAAAGCAAGGGCCGCATTCCTACAATTGAAAAACATATGGAACTCAAAACAACTTTCAACCAATATCAAAGTGAGGATCTTCAATACGAACGTCAAGGCAGTTCTACTGTACGGAGCTGAAACTTGGAGAAATACAATAACCACAATCAAGAAGGTACAAGTATTTATAAATAGCTGTCTACGTAGGATACTCAACATCCATTGGCCGGATACCATCAACAACAGCCTTCTGTGGAAGAGAACACACCAGCTTCCAGCTGAAAAGGAAATTAGGAAAAGACGATAGAAATGGATGGGACATACATTACGCAAATCATCGAACTGCATCACGAGGCAAGCCCCAACTTGTAATCCTGAAGGGAAGCGTAAAAGGGGAAGGCCAAAGAACACATTACGTCGGGAAATCGAGGCAGGTATGGAAAGGATGAATAACGACTGGGAAGAGCTGGAAAGGATTGTCCAGGACAGGGTTGGATGGAGAGTGCTGGTGAGTGGCCTATGCTACTTCACAAGTAACAGGTGTAAGTAAGTAATATCTTCCATAAGCTCGGTACTCAATTTCTGATCAAATCTAGTCACACAACGAACAAATAAAACTTTCTTAGATAGTTTTTTGGTAGACTTATACGTTCTAGTGTGAGATTATGTGAAATATTCGTAGCTTGCGTGGATGATTTCAACAGAAACATTCTATGGGTTTTACATAATTCGAAGAATACATTATCAATAAAGATTTACACGGTTACCGTTCCATGAACATCCCAATAGGAAAAGTTGTTCACGTCATCACACTAAATGTAATCACCGCTAGTCAAATCTACCTACAATTCTACATTTTGTTGACTGTTTGCCCTAAAATACTTGACTTTCAACTTGTAGCTTTACATTGCTTGCCTACAGTACATGTATTATGTTTGACTGCTCAATCAATGCTCACGGTCGTTCCTTAGACTTTTTCTTAACCTAGATCTGATTTGTTTACGCTCTTCATCATGTTCAGAACCTGATGGGACGAGTTTGCGAGAATCCATCAGTGTGACAGACCTTGAAGAAATCCACTGGTTCCTTGTAACTCTGTGGTTTAAGTCACTAACAGATGTCACTGCTGTTTCCACAGCTGCTTGTATGTCCTTCCAAGCAACATCTGGGTCAGCCTCGTCTTCACAACTAACTAAGTGTGACCTCAGTTGTTCCTGGAACCTACTTTTGGTTTTCTCGTTACTCAACTCAGTTCTAATGGGTCTTTTTAATGTGGCTTTTTTGCGTCCATTGAGGCGCAAGCAGATGCGTGCCCGTATTAGGGCATGGTCGGAGTCCAAGCAGGTGCTCCAGAATGAACGACAATCTTCTACCGACCCTCTCCAACGATGACTGATGGCAATATGGTCTATTTGAGTCCATCGTTGGTTTGGTGTAGGGGGTCGCCATGTTAGACGATGTCTCTCCTTATGCTTAAAATTTGTGTTTGCTAAAAATAAACGATTGTCTGAGCATAGCTGCAGCAGACGATCACCATTATCTGTTCGCTGTGTCGGAATACTAAAATATCCACCTAAATGCCTTTCTGTTTGGTTTAAACTGCCTATCTGAGCATTAAAATCACCTGCTACGAGTACTATGTCTGAGCGTTTAGCTTTCTGAAGAAGTTCGGATAGCTTTCTGTAAAATTCATCTTTCACTTCATCTGAGCTGCAGTCAGTGGGAGCGTAGGCAGAAACGACAAAAAGGCAACGACGTGTGTCCCTATCCTTCCGAGTTCTTACGTAGCCGTTCAGCCGAACAGCACATAGACGACTGTTGACGGGGATCCACTCTAGCAGTGCTTGTTCGGCCCTTATGCTTAGTGCTATGCCTACACCTGCCAGTCCACGAGAACTTGCCATCGGGTCACCGGACACACGAAGGGTGTATCTCGTTGGCTCTCCGTCTTGCCGAGGTGAGGTCAAGTGAATGACCACACTGGAATCCTGTATGCGTGTTTCGGAGACACAGCATACATCAATGGAAAGAGACTCTAGGGTTTTAGCCAAGGAAGCCTGCTGACCGATTTGACATAGGGTGCGTACGTTGAAGGCTCCAATGTGTAGTTTGGAGCGAGGTTTCAGTAGACCTGGGACAGTGTTTTGCGCACTAGAATCGTTGGCTACGTACGGTGACACTTGAGGTGGAAGCCGAGAGAGGAAATACAGAGTTGAAAGTCGATGTAGGAGGAATAATAGGAATTGAAGAAGGAGGTTGATTATGAATACAGTGGTCTTGAGTGCTGTTAGAAGTATGAGGGCGGTTATCACTTCCCGGTTGCCCACACCGTGGAAGGGTTGTTCTGGAGGTACCTGAAAAGGAAATTGGATTAAAGGTGGTCTTAGTGAACTGAGAGCGTGACCGCAGTGCCCAAGGGACAACTGCTTGAGGTCGGTCACACACGACCTTGTTATGGGTAATTTTTGTGTTAGCTCCGTACTTATTGAGACCTTACCGCCGGAGACGGATATCCGTGGGATAAGGCGAGGTGTGCATTTTTAGGGTCGACCTTTTCTAACCCCACCCCTCCTTGTGGGAAGGCAGCATCGCTGTCATGCTGGTTGTCTGAAGGAAACACCTTACTGCTGTCACACCTCTGTACAGTCAGCAGTACGACTTCGCCTTCGGACCTTGGGTTTGTTGCTTTTAGTCTTACCGCTCTTCAACCGACCTGTCTGACATGGTAGGACCTTGAGGAACGGTTGTTCCAGCCAGTATAGCTCGGTTGCTTCATCACGATAGGCAAGCCCGACCACCACGTCAAGGTAGCAACAACGGGGTAGCAACAACGGTCGGGTTGACTTATATCAATCCAATTCTATCTTGAGTAAATAAGCCATTTTGATAAGACTAGTTTTTATCTACATACTTTGTGGAGATGAAACTATTTAATAAACACATAGCTACAAACACTCCTGTTTGCATAAATTGAGCTGACGAGTACAAAAAACAATAAAATGCGTATACTACAAGTTAGGTAAATAAAATAAGCACCTTACTTGGATCCCATTCAACCAAAGTCGGGTCTTCCCAAGTGGCTCCAGCAGCTGTGCGAATGTACTTTTTCTTTTTATAGACTTGATCATTTGTAGTTGTACTAGCAGAACGATAAATTGTAGGTGGTACCGGTGGTAATATTGTTGTTTGTGTTACTTTGTTCACTTCCGTATCCGTATTGAGATCGGTTAGCTTTGATTTTTTACTTGATTGTGTAACGACTGGTGTTAGCGGAGGTTTAGTGATACTTGCTAAAACCTTTTCTAGAAAATGTTAAATTTGAGATACAAACATATACCAATGAACAACAGTAGAATGTAGCTCTGAAAACGTCAATGGACTAATGTACATTATTTGTCTACAATATAATTATTCTACTTGTCTCATGGAAGGATATGTTAGATTTTAGTCGTTTGCGGAAAGTTTATAATTAATATTGCTGCAGGTTTTAGGAAATAGTAGTATGAAATTAGGATGCTGTTCTTGAAACCGAAAATCGGCATTTTCGTCGTGTGGCATTTCGCGAAAATTTACAAAATTTCACTGGTAAAATGAGCAAAGTAGTTTACAGCAACGACCGTTTCAAGAATTTGGTCGTGATATATGAGGACAACACAAAACGTTAGTGACCTTAACCTGTTCAACCATCGTCGATACTTGACAGACCCGCTTGTTAACTTTAAGACAGATAGTCTACAGATGCACGTATACATTAGAGTCGAGCATGAATATGACTTAATAAATTACAAGACTAAAAATGATCAGATAAGTGTGACGTATGACAGTAGGAAATTTTCTGCATGGTGAGTTGGGTCTGGATCTGGTTTTTATTCATGTTAAAGATAAGGTATTACACTGAGTAAACAAAAGATGGGCACCTTTCTTATATGAAATTCGATTTAAAATATTTTGAATGAGATTAAATCAGATCAAAAACAGCTATACGATTGAATAAAGAATGTTTGCTTGAAGTACCTTATTTTCTACATAGCCATGACGACATCAGATGAAACTTCTATTATTAGCTGATCAAAACTAGTCAAGTAACTATGTACGAAAAACCCCCATGATATATACTGAATTTAATTCTATTAATAACATTAATATATCCGCTTATCTTTCGGTCTAGTAATTAGTTGTACAATAGTAAGTTTTAATCTGATAATAGATTTTCATTTCTGGAATGCCAAGAAACAGTATTAAATGAGAGTTTATTTAAAGATTAGAAAAAAGATCTTATTGTGAGAGCCAAACATAAAATTACGAGTTATGATATTTTAGACAATGTTAATGATTAACACTAACTTGATCTCATAAAACTGTATAGAGGGTGGAAAAGTATAACATCATTGTATGTTGTAAGCACCAGTTCCAAAAATTTACAAGTCTAATGGTCACTTTAATTTAGTAACAATTAAATAAAATGTCTATGTAGCATATGTAATGAACTTGCCTTTTCCATCTGGCCCCTGAACTCGAGTATAAGTAACTCCCGCTGCCGCAGCTAGCAATGCTCGAGTAACATCATCGTCTTCGTCTTCAGCTTTAGACTTGGCAGCTGCAACCGCCGCAGCGGCTTGCTTGGCTCGTGCCGCTAACTCGTTTGGTCCAGCCATTTGTGGTGGAGCAGTTATAACTTTTTGAGTTGGGTTATGTTCGTTAACAGTCTCTTTGTTAACTGATGAAACGGGAGACATTTCCACTTTTGGTGTTGGGATCGACATGTTAGATGCCTTTGAAGGCATGAAAACAGGATTTGATGGTGGCAACTGTGTGTGAGCGACATTCATATGGTAACAAGACACAGGAGGTTGGGAAAGAGGAACAAACATGGGAACCCCGGGAGGCAGTGGTAAGACTGTAAGAGAAAAGTTAAGCAGCTGCTGAGAGGACATATGTTAATGATAGTAGGACATTTCATATATATATATATATATATATATATATATATATATATATATATATATATATATATTGCTTCATACAGTTCAAATTCAAGGTTTTTACTACTAGTAGATCTAGCAGGAACTATGAATTGTAGGAGTTAGTTCACTTATACAATCGTAACCAGGCTAAATACAACTCGGTGAGATATAATTTTTAAAGGTACGATTGATAACGTCCATTGTAAATATTTTCTCGTAAAATGATGTCGACGATGCATGAAAAATCGAGTTTCGAGAAAGAAATCAGTCACTAGTTGATAGTAAGGTTTCAAGCAGTTTGAGAAAACTTCGAAGACACTATCTCAGGAAAGTAGGTAAAAGATGGCATAGATTAGCATAAGTCTAACGGAATTTCAACTCCGCCTGTAGCTCTAACAGGGTTACTGCCGGTCCCAAGCCCGGATAAAGGAGGAGGGTTGGGCATGGGGTTAGCGTCCCCATCCCGTAGGAAACTAACTCGCTAAAAAAACGCTTACCAGAAAAATAATCCAAACCCATAGTGTCATTGAATAAGACCCTCATCAAAAACGGTTATCCACCGAGATTCATCGATAGAAACTTGGTACCTAGACCCCATGATAAAGCATTGACAGTAGAGAAAAAAAACTATTTATGAATATGGAATTTAAGGGAGATACAGCTGCTGAAATCCTAAATAAACGGATTTCGAAATCAACGAATAAAACATTCCAGACAGCTAAACTTCGAATCATCTTCTCTAGCCGACCTACCATTCTGGGGTGTGTAAAGGACAAACTTTCGCTTTGGGCCACTTCAATGTGTATCTATAAATTTACTTGCTCATGTGGGGCATGTTACATAGGCCGCACAAAGCGATCATTATCCAAACGCATCTCGGAACATTATCCGGCTTGGCTTTTGAAAGGGGAGCGAAAAACAATCACGAGTTCTATACAGGAGCACTTAATCAACTGTGGACATATCGCTCCAAAAGACTCTTCGTTTAAAATAGTTTACAGAGTCAAAGGAACTGGATCGAAGGGGGTTCGAATCAATATTTTATGCACCGCAGAGGCATTGGCAATCCACAAACTAAAGCCTGAACTTTGCGTGCAGAAACGATTTGTCCAGCCTCTTATCCTTCCTTGGCCTTAATGGGTATGTTGCTAGGTTTTTTTCTTTTTTCTTAATGCACTTTTATTATTATCCATATTTTAAAATTACTATTTTGCACTTTAAACTTTAATCATTTATTATTATTACCTTTTACAAGTTTTCTTGATTATCATTCAGTTTATTATTATGACCTTTGTTGTTTTGTCGTTTTTCTTCATATCTGTCAATCTGTCAATTGGACTATTATCTGACCCTTAAATTTTGTTCTTCCTTACCCCTTGATTAGTACGGTAACCTCATTTGTTATTTATTGTCGAATCCATTTTTTTGTGATACAACCCTTTCTATCCTTCTATAGACATACATTTTCCATATAACTATATATACGAATGTACAGCTTAAGTAAATGATTTCGTCGAAAAGAAAATTTTCTTCGCTGAATTCTCTTTTTCTTATTCAATAATCCAAACCATTTAAACTCTGCCCTGGGAGTTAGAAGGTCTTCAGTTAGAAGAATTATGACGCTTCATGGTGAAAGCCGAGTTCCTTCGGAAGCCACGAGGCCGATGCCCCTTCTAACAACCAGAGCAAAAATTTTTATAGGTACATGGAACGTTCGAACAATGTGGGAAACCGGGAAGACCAGTCAAATAGCAATGGAAATGAGGAGATACAACTTAGCAGTACTGGGAATCAGCGAAACCCACTGGACCCAAGCTGGACAGAAAAGGCTAGCTACGGGAGAGATGCTGCTATACTCCGGTCACGAAGAGGAAAATGCTCCACACACTCAGGGAGTCGCTCTTATGCTGTCCAAAGTAGCACGAAATGCACTTGTAGGATGGGAGTCTCACGGATCCAGAATCATCAAAGCATCATTCAAAACAAAGAAGGAGGGGATCTTAATGAATATTATCCAATGTTATGCACCCACCAATGATAGCAACGACGACATTAAAGATCAGTTCTACGAGCGGCTGCAGTCAATCATTGAGAAATGCCGAAGAAAGGACCTAACTATTCTGATGGGAGATCTAAATGCCAAAGTCGGAATAGACAACACTGGATATGAAGATATTATGGGACGACATGGACTGGGAGAGAGAAACGAAAATGGAGAAAGATTTGCAAATCTGTGTGCATTCAACAAATTGGTCATAGGAGGCACAATATTTCCACACAAGCGTATACACAAGGCTACATGGATCTCACCGGACCACACTACAGAGAACCAAATAGATCATATTTGCATCAACAAAAAATTCCGAAGGACAATGGAAGATGTGAGAACCAGGAGAGGTGCTGACGTAGCTTCAGATCACCACCTAGTTGTAGCCAATTTAAAACTGAAGCTAAAAAAGAACTGGACAAGTGGACAAACAGCACTACAAAGGTTCAATACAGCCTTCCTTCGAGATACTGACAAACTCAATGAATTCAAGATAGCTCTCAACAACAGGTTCCAAGCCTTACAAGATCTACTGAAAGAAGAAGAAACTACTATGGAGGACAACTGGAAAGGCATCAAGGAAGCATTAACTTCAACGTGTCAAGAGGTTCTGGGCCTAAAGAAACACCATCATAAGGAATGGATCTCTATAGAAACACTGGACAAGATCAAAGAAAGGAAGAACAAGAAGGCAGCAATTAACAACAGCCGAACACGAGCAGAGAAAGTCCAAGCACAAGCTGAATACATAGAAGCAAACAAACAAGTGAAGAGGAGCATTAGAGCCGACAAGAAGAAATACGTGGAAGAACTAGCAACGACGGCAGAAAAAGCTGCTAGAGAAGGAAATATGAAACAGCTTCACGATACAACGAAGAAACTAGCAGGGAAATACAGTAAACCAGAGAGGCCGGTCAAAGACAAAGAAGGCAAGCCAATCACCGAAATTCAACAACAGCGTAACAGATGGGTAGAATACTTCGAGGAACTCCTGAATAGGCCGGCTCCAATGAATCCACCGGACATCGAAGCAGCACACATAGATCTTCCTATAGATGTCAACCCACCAACGACGGAAGAAATTAGAATGGCCGTCAGACAAATCAAGAACGGGAAAGCAGCAGGACCCGACAACATACCAGCTGAAGCACTGAAATCAGACATCGAAGCAACCACAAGCATGCTATACCTTCTATTCAAAAAGATTTGGGAGGAGGAACAAGTGCCGATGGACTGGAAAGAAGGACACCTCGTCAAGATTCCAAAGAAAGGAGATCTGAGCAAATGTGAAAACTACAGAGGCATTACACTACTGTCAATACCAGGGAAAGTCTTCAACAGAGTGTTGCTGAACCGGATGAAGGATGCAGTAGACGCCCAACTTCGAGATCAACAAGCTGGATTCCGTAAGGATCGGTCGTGCACAGACCAAATTGCAACACTACGGATCATCGTCGAACAATCAGTTGAGTGGAACTCATCACTATACATCAACTTCATTGATTATGAAAAGGCATTCGACAGTGTAGATAGGAGGACATTATGGAAACTTCTTCGACACTACGGAGTTCCTGAGAAGATTGTCAACATTATCCGGAACTCATACGACGGACTACAGTGCAAAGTAGTGCATGGAGGACAGCTGACAGATGCATTCCAAGTAAGGACTGGAGTCAGACAAGGCTGTTTACTCTCTCCCTTCCTCTTTCTTCTGGTGGTCGACTGGATTATGAAGACCTCAACATCTGAAGGAAAACACGGAATACAATGGACAGCTCAGAATCAATTAGACGATTTGGACTTCGCAGACGACCTAGCCCTCCTATCACGTACACACGAACAGATGCAGATGAAGACAGCCAGTGTAGCAGCAGTCTCTGCATCAGTAGGCCTCAGCATACACAAAGGGAAAACCAAGGTCCTCAAATTCAAGCGGAGAACAGCAATCCAATCACTCTTGATGGCGAAACTCTGGAAGATGTAGAGTCCTTCACATACCTGGGAAGCATCATCGATGAACAAGGAGGTTCAGATGCAGACGTAAAGGCGAGGATCGGCAAAGCAAGGGTCGCATTCCTACAATTGAAGAACATATGGAACTCAAAACAACTTTCAACCAATATCAAAGTGAGAATCTTCAATACGAACGTCAAGGCAGTTCTACTGTATGGAGCTGAAACTTGGAGAACTACAACAACCACAATCAAGAAAGTACAAGTATTTATAAATAGCTGCCTACGCAAGATACTCAACATCCACTGGCCGGATACCATCAGCAATAGCCTTCTGTGGGAGAGAACAAACCAACTTCCAGCTGAAGAAGAAATTAGGAAAAGACGATGGAAATGGATAGGACATACATTACGCAAATCGTCAAACTGCATCACGAGGCAAGCCCTAACTTGGAACCCTGAAGGGAAGCGAAAAAGAGGAAGGCCAAAGAACACATTGCGTCGGATAATAGAAGCAGATATGAAAAGGATGAATTACAACTGGACGGAGCTGGAAAGGATTGCCCAGGACAGGGTTGGATGGAGAATGCTGGTGAGTGGCCTATGCTCCTTCACGAGGAGTAACAGGCGTAAGTAAGTAACGGAATTTCACTAGACATGTTGATTTTGTTTGTTGCACCGTCAGTATACGACCTTTTCTAATGATGCAAATGGCTTATAACTAAGATTGGATGCATGCGCAGGCTCTTTCTAATCTACCAGATTCAGATTTTATTTTAATGGTGTACAGCATGTCTCATAATTCTAGTTGCTCATCAACAGGTCAAGTGCGATTCGAGCAACGAGTACACTATCATGCCGTAAGAGAATTCTGTTAGCACACTCGAAGTAGAATTCACACCTTTGAGCTACAAGTCCACATCACCGACTCGCACCCGACTTAAATCTCCTTGGGCGATTGAAAAGAATCATCACCCT